TCCAGTCGCGTGTTTCTTTTCTTCATTTTCAAAAGTCCAGCTCTGAACAACTCCTCCGGGTAACCAATCACCTTCATTTCTTTCAGAAAAGTCACGAAACTCCACCACAGTGAGAGTCTGGTATTTGTATTGTCCAGTATCCGACAAACAACATTCGACACTGTTCCAAATTTTTGGATCAAGGGGGCATAGGAGTCAAAACTCCGCAAAGTTCGGAAACGACCAACCCTCCCTTCCCAAATGGTTTCCAAGTTCTTGAACTTCTGAAAGCTGTGAATCCAGGCCGGGATATCTGTAACAATCAACCTGGTTTCTAGATATTCAGCGATGCCATTCCTTGGGTCCGTCCTCTCCAAAATAAGGTCCTTGTGGTAGCAACCGATGATCTTGTCGAGTGTACTTTCAATGCGCTCAACTCCTTCCTTGTCCTTCTTGTCAAACCAGCCTATCAGTAAAAGATCATCAATGAAACGATTGCCGTCAATGTATCTTGCATCCTTCCCCAAAGTCACTAAAAATTGTTGTTCAGCATAGATGCATAGAACGTTTGCAAGTGGAGGGCTAGCTCTACCTCCCATTGGGATACCAATGTCTTGCTTCAAGATTTGCGCCGATGAGTAGAGCAAAGTATTGTCCAACTGAAACGTCGTCAGAGCTAACACATCCGATAATCTTATCGATTTCCAACCAGCTTCCCCGAGTGATTTGCCAAAAGTGGCCTTTTTCCCTTTCCTCTTWATACGGATCCAATAATGTCCCTTATCGTTGAAAAACCTGATCAGCCAAGCTATTGCCTCCATGATCTGTTCATGGGGTAGTTTTGTAAACATCTCCTTTACATCATAAGTCCTTATGGTAATACCCGCGTCACTTCCATAAGCAAGATGGGYCGATTCATTTGCTTCTCTGACCTTTTCTTTCAGGTGCTTAGCCCCATGATATTGAAGTGCCTTACCCTCAGCCTTTGGATAAGGAAATTCAAACTCTGAGCCAAGTAACCCATGCCGTCCTTTGCGGGATTTAGGAAGGATGGCACTATCGGCCTTTTCTTGCACACATCTTTGTCTTTGGACAGGATATATGTCTGTTGTAGCCTCCCCCTATTATCCCATTTTGCAATTCATCCAAGCTCCTGACCAAGATACTAGGTTTTAGCTTCTTTTAATATTACATCCTCAGACCTTTCTAACTTTCTATGGTTCACATTGTCATTGTACATCATCTTCATGCCCTCAACGTACAAAGTCGGGCATTCCACAAGAGTCGCACCTGGATTCCTGTCCAGTGGCGAGAGTACTAGCCCCTTCAGAGCTTGTTCCAGCCCCAAGACATACTCGGTGTCACAACSCACCAAATGTGACGTCCCTTTTACGCAATATTCCTTCCAACTCAAGTGCACTTGTTGTGTCTGTTGCACACATCCCATCTTCTTCAATGGTTCCAACGCATTGTTACATGCTTGGTTTACGTCTTTCCCTG